TTATTAAATGTAATGTGAGCCTTGCAGCTTTAACCAGTGGTGCTACTGGAAGTGCCGCCTCATTTTCGCAAGAAAAGTATGCCACTGCCGTTTTTTTGTACAAATAATAGGTACTGTTACATTAAATGAATGAAAAAGGTTTCTTGGTGTTTTTTAATGGTAGCAAACGTTTAGGGGATATTTGAGCTTGTTTTTACGTTTTATTAAATTTTCCTAATAAATTTATTCGTTTATTTGATGAAAACCTCCTGGTTTTAACCAGTGACGTGCTACTAAAGCGTCCGCCAAATTTTCCCAAAAAGAGAATACGCCACTGGCGGTTATTTATAGAAATAATTTTATTTTTGGAAAAAATATCAAACTAAATAATAAATAACATTAATAAATAGTAATAATAGTAGTAGTAGTAATAATTAAGTAATGAGCCCTACAATTGTTCAGAACAAAGTCCTTCAGTATCTATATACACTGACATATAATCAGGAGGAACTTATCATGACATAATTTTCCCTGAGATTATAATTTTCCTCTATTCTTTGCCACAATTCTTCTCGCGCTCATAAGCCCAAGAAAGACTGCTGCTTCAAGAATAAATAAACAAAGCTAATTATAACACTAAAACGAGATCATTGTAAAACTCACTAACTTTTAATGCAGAGAAAATAATCAATTTTTACACATGGATTTTAAACGAATAATATGTATGTGGACTAAATTTGCGCTTATGGTCTGCAAATAAGTAAATTAATTCCTAAACGGCTGCTACAATGAAAAACAACAAGAAACACTTCATTCATTCATAACGTAACGGTACCTGAATGTAACATTATTTCTACAAAAAACTGCCAAAAGTTCATGTAAACGTAGGTCGAATTATGCTTCATTTCCAAGATACAGAGTGTTTAAATTTTAATTTTTTATTTATTTTTATTAATTATTTCAGTTTTAAAGATATTGACTCGAAATTTGAAAAACGCTTTGGAGGGATAAATATACATTTTTTGGAGTGATCTGAGTATTTCTACTTGCACCAGTGGCATTCGTATAAGAATGCCACAAACTTTTTAATAAAAAAAATGAACGCTACTGACTTTCTAGTTTTGGTATTTTTTTAGAAATCCGCCATCGATTTTAAATGAAATTTGCACTTCAATTTTTTTCGTAGGATGCATCGTTTTTGAGGAAAACAAATAAAACATATTTTATTGCAAGTTGTGTATTTTTAATTTCTATTGATACATTATCTAGTAGGTTGCTGTCAATATGTCTAAATAAAATACAACCAGAGAACACAATACCAACGAGAAGCGACAGAATCGGCGGTTCCTTTGATGTTTTGTGGTCACGCTAGAGTCGACCGATTTGACAGAAACACAAACGTTTACACTGAGAGAAGTTACACTTTTGAATAGATGTACACTGAACGAACTGCATCAGTATCAAACGTTATTCATATAATACAAGGATAATTGTGGTAAAATGTAGACAAATTAGGTATAATATATAAAAAAATAAAACAAGATGTTTTACAACTAATATATTTATTAAGCAGATATAATATTTTACTGCAATATTTGAAATAATTTTTTAAAAATAGGTACCTGACAATGCTATAACTTCTTTGGGACAATCTTCCACAATTTTTGCCTCTAGCTCTTCTTGCCCATTTCTAAGTTGAGGAAACTGTATAGGTATTCCGTTTGGCAATAAGGTTATTCTTACATTCCCTTTACCAATATATTTGGTTTCGAAATGGTGTTCACAAAGCCTATAATTCTTATATACATCCACAATCCTAGGCAATAAATCGAGTCTATTGCAAGTTTCTATCCACACTCGAGCACTGCAAACAAAAATAAAAATTCTCCTAAAGATATTCTCTGTACTTATGCAATACCATATTACAAGAAAACATTCCACATTATTTTAAAAATCAAAATACTTTTTTCTGATTTACAGTTTAGAGGTAGGTACTTAAAATAATAATAATAATTACCTTTCTAATCCTTACGTAATCTCAATAGGGTTGATCCTTCACCAGTTTTGGATGAACAATCGCGAAAAGCACAATAATAACCATGCATTTTATTGATTTCAAGTTGATTCTAATTGTAGATGGAAAATACAAATAAATCCACTATCAATTAACATTATACAATACAACTGTCCACCGCCAAAAAACTATTACTCGTTTTTCTATTTATATTTGACGGCTCTGACAGCCACTGACAACTGACAACAACACAACCCAATTCGCGCATGCGCATACGAAAACTGTTAACGCAGAAAGCCTTGCTGTCGCTTCTCGTTGATATAGTGTTCTCTGATACAACCATCAAATTTCGAGTCAATATTTTTAAAACTCTTTTAAATAATTAATAAAAATAAATGAAAAATTAAAAGTTAAAGACTGTATCTCGGAAAAGAAGCATATTTCGACCTATGTTTATATGAACTTTTTTTCACAAAATAACTTCGGCAACCACCTCCTAAAATATTTCGCACTTATTTAAGTTCGTGAACATTCGAAAAATGAGATAAAACCTTATTTTCTACAGAATTGTGACTGTCCTCGGTTAAATTAAAAATAACTGTTGTAATTCTTAAATAGCACAGGAAAACAAGAAACAGTTTTTCCAACTCCATTGAATAATTTAATAAAATTCATGTCACATTTTAAAAGGCAGTGACGGAATAATTCTTGGCTTTTGACTCATGTAATAGAGCCTTAGTTTTAGAATTACAGAGTGGTTTTTAATATCTAAAGAAATTATACATTAGCTGTATCATTTTCAAATTCCAGATGAATATTTTGGCGGACTACTTTTTTTTCATTTCATTTTTTTTTAAGGGATGTAATCTAAAGAGGTACTGGTTATAATACTGAATATTTGTCATTTATTCTATTTATTTATTATTTTCTATTTTAAGTACCTAATCCTAAAGATATTTAGCAGTGCTCGCTCTTCTACGTCACCGTTAACATATGTATGTACTTATTGAAATTATTATAATAATATGCACATGTGAGGAAAAAATGTTTCCATATATTCCAAAATAAGATAATTCTTCAGGAAACTCCCTCTCAAGTAAAATTACTTCAATTGATCAAAAAAATATGTAAACAAAACTATATTTATTCCTCTCAAAACGTAAGCAAATACATCAATACTTTACACTTCTTCAGTTTAGCAAACAATTAAAATATTTGTAACACCTTCATTCATACTAATATAGATAGCATTACTAAATACAACAAGCGCGAAATTCTTCTATTTGTAAATTCTACATTTGAGATAATTATTATGGAAAATGCCAAGTAAACACTAACTTCTATAAGACATTTTGCGACATTCAACTCGTGTTCAAAATGTTACATAATATGGAAATTCTTCTAATTTAAAAAATGAATAGATATCAATTTCATGATAACAATGAAGAATATAAATATAACAAACACAATAAGAAAACTATGGAAGTTTATAATACTACTTATAGGTACCAAAATAACACAAGTTAGCCTCAGGATAACCCTTTATTATCCTATTATTTATGGCACACATCCTGGAACATTAACCGTATGTCTTCCGGACATTTAATTTCGTATGTACCAGATATTTTATTTCGCAACATATGGAAGATATCTCATTATTGTGGTAAAGCAAACATTTCTTGGGATATCCCTTGGATGTATATACCTGAGCATCCTAGGGTTGGTACATACCTACAATTTCTATCTTTCATCTTTATACAGGGTGGCCAAATGAAAACGAAACAGAGTAATTTTCAAGAACTGCGTAGAGATTGTAGAAAAACGCTAAGACCCGTCGATTTTATATTAAAGGGGACATTCTTTGCTGATATAAATAAGCATCCTTATATTACACAATACAATAAATAATTATTTACAAAAACCTATAAATTTCGGAAGTAGGTATAAATTTTTACAGTAACTAAGTGATTTCGATAACTACTGTATATAACAATAAAAATGTGTCGCTTGGTCAGCCAGAGGTTCTCTCATAATCAGATATTCTCAGGTTATCCTACTGACAGCCAATCGTATGCTCTTGGGACATAGACTGGGTGGTTATATTAATCTGTAACAAGACATCCTTCAGAGGTCGAAAAGATAACCATACATACATCCAGACATACATACATCCTCTGTCTGTCTTGAAGATAGCCTATACATAGTACAAATTATATGCTCCTGGGACATGTGGGATACCTGGGAGATTCCCTGATTTGTATCTACTTAAGATATCCCTCAGATGTCTGTCATAAAACTGAAGAGTCCAAGCCATGTCCTTGGGACATATGATGGACATCAGCGCCGTTAACCCGAATTCCAAGGGGCAGAGGGTAAATTGGAAATATCAGAAACGTAGTCTCCGTTTAGGTAATAAACAACAACACTACCTATATTTAAATTTAGTTAGAGACCATTAAATAATCACCTGGTGTTACCCCCATTAAGAAAAATAAAATTGCTTCAACATTGTTCATCATTTACAAATAAAACTGTAAGCTGTAAGAAGTGTGTACAGCAAGTTTGCAAGAAGTTTGTAACAAAGTTATAATGACCACCCAACAATGTTTCAAAGAAACATTAATTTAGCAAATTTGTTCAAAACTTCAAAATCTTTCTTAGTAATGTTCAAATATGCTTTGTACACTTTGTTTAAAAGTTAGTTATGGAATTACTAGGAACTTTCTTTTAAATATTGCCTTTTGTTTGGTTGATAATATTATAATTATTATAATTTTATTGAACAATACCAAAATGGCAAAGACTTTGACTAACATATTGAACGTCACTCTTGCCTTCCATTGTTAAGCTTTACAGCATTAAGTTTATGTCATCATAATATTTCTATAATAATTTATGACAAAATGTTAATGATAAAAATGTTAAACAGGCAAAATATTTTATAGTCAGTTAGGCTTCACCTTTTTGGTTCTGAACCATTAAGATTGCATTGTAAAGAACCCGTATGTACAAAAAATTTAATGGTTTTATTTATTTAACCATTTAATAAGCATTTCAGAACACAAATAAACAGGTTTGCTTAAAGGCTAATAACATCTCAGGAATATTGTATGTACATATTTTTTATAGATTTGGTAAAGGAAGTAATTCCCGGAAAATTCCAGATGGGGTTTATCTTTTCCAGATCATCATAATCTATTTCAACAAACTCTTTAAACCCTGCCTGCTTAGCATTCTTTTGGGATATAATAGATGTAAATACGGTGGCTGAGGTTTTGATTCCAACTGCTAAACATAACTCACGTCTAAAAATAAAATGCTAATTTAATTATAACACCAAAAATACTAAGCAATCTATTTTCTAAATTATTCGTTTCATTATTTCCTACCTGGCTCTCAAAATTTCTGTACCTATTCCTTGCCCTCTAAATTTTGGCAGAACATATAAACCAAAAGCAGTTAGATATTCGTTAATATTTAATTCACTGAATATATCCCTCTTTTTCGATGTGTATATAATTGCTGATAACACTTTTTTATATGTTTCAGATTTGCCCTAAAATAAGACAGGTAGTTGTTAGTGTCTGATACTTATTATTTCATAAGTATGATTCTGATATAATTGATACATTATCGTCTTATGGGCCTACCACACGTACAGGCTTTACCAAATGATTACTTGCACAAATCGGCTTGTAGCGAGAACTACAGGGTGATTCACTATAGAGATGGGCCCAACAAACCCTATATGACTATGCTCGATAGGGAAAGTTCTATCCAAATATGAAAAATTAACAAAGTTAATATCCGCGGCCATTTTGTTTGGACTTCATTTGTTTTTCTACTCTAATTTTCAGAAACTTCATAAAAAATCGTGCAACTTTTGTATTTCACATTTTTTTATAATTCTAAAAATAAAAAAGTTAAAGGGAGGTCAAAATATAGTGAATCGCCCTGTACGTGCATGTGGATGGTCGCACAAACCGAAGAGCCAAAAATATGGTTCGCGCAAATACGTTTGGCGTGGTAAAACTTGCAGTTTGTTAAATATGTCTGATATACGATGTATGTGGGATTTTGAAAAAAATAATTATCTATTTTACCGTTTTCTGTTATTTTCAGAGCTAGCAAAAAGAAGAACGAGATAATCTTTTCTGCGCTTTCTTATGAAAATGCTAGTTTTGCTGTCCTACGTTTCACAATTCGACTTACCCTCATCAACAAAATTTTTTAAAAATAAGGTCTCTTGAAATACATATTTTTAATTCCCCTTTTATTGGTGTTTTACTTGTTATAATTTAATCACGACAAAGACCAACACGCAAAAATACTTTCATAAAAGAAAAATTTTAATTTTGAACTGAAAATTTGATTAATTTTTTTTAGATATTTTATAATTTAGTCATATTTGTACAGTCTTTGAACAGACACAAGGGATTGCTGTAATTGTTTTTGTTTTTCAAAAAAAAAAAAATAGTAAAAACATATATGATGCATGCTTTTTATATGACTACAAATACAATCGGTAATTCTTTCGAAACTGTTTTTAATAGGAGTACTAACTTTATTGAGAAATTGCAAGAATCTATTTCTTAATTCAGAAATATGAACATTTTGTATATATTAAATTTAAATATTTTCATAATAGCAGACCCTGCGACTGTGAAAACTCGCCCGAGCGAAGTACTTTGAAGTAGAAAGAAGAATACATTGTAAATTAAAAGTGATTTAGGACTTACCTCTAAATCGCTTGCATCACCTTTTTCACTTATGGTAGTCATATTACCCCCTACAAATTCTATTTTGCCATTTTCATCTTCTGTTAGGCAAATAATACCTAATTTGTGACTAAAGGCATATCTCCATAAATCTGCAAATTCTTGCACTGCCTGTGGATCTTCCACAAAATCTGAAATGAAATAAAATAATTCCCTATATCAATATTTATTTACATTTCACTTTTTGATAGTATTTAAACAAATTATTGAAATTTTGGTTCTTCATAATTCCTTTCCAATAGATAATATGGAGAATTAGAAGAATTTCACATTAGTAGACATGTATTCTCATATTATATCATATTAGGTTATTTTATACATATTTGAGATGTATGCACAGAATAAGCTAAGCTTAGGCGACTCATTTGATTGATTATTTGTTAGGTTTAAGTTATACAGGGTGATTCATTAACAATGGGAAAATCAAAAGCTGAAGATACTACACGTGAAATGGTGACCATGGCGCAAATATGCCTTATCCGAAAGTAGATAGTTTCGGAAATACAGGGTGTTGTAAGTTAAAATTTTAAATCGTTTTTTTGCGGTTATTCTGAAAATATTAGGAACTTGAAAATTTGTAAAATTATATTTTTTTAGGCGACGAATAAGATGCGTGTTGTACTTTCAGAATTGCTCATAGAGGGCGCCACTTACGACAAATAATACCGAAAATTTAGTTAATAACTTTTTTCCTGTATGTCTAACATGAAACTTGATTCAAAGCTTGTAAGAGCTATCATTTTTCCATTAATTGTGTATTCTTGTTTCATTTCGGTATTTCGATCCGTTTTCGAGAAAAATTGATTTAACGAACACTATGTTTTGCTAATACGAGAAATTAAAAGCGAAACAAACTAAGTGTTTCTTCATGTTATTACAACAATTAACAATAAAACAAATGAAATTCGTAATAATGATTTAAAGTCGACATATTATGATTGCGTTTGACTTCGTTGGCAGCGATTTGTATTATTTGCCATAAGTCTTCACACGAACCAATAGATTCTTCCAAATAGAAAAATGAAGAGCATTGATGTCCGGACTTCTGGGTGGCCAAGTAAAAATGCTTCCACAGCTTGAAGAAGTTTCACTTTATTTAAGAAGAGACATGTGGTTCATGCACGACGGAGCTCCACCGCATTTTTCTTGGTCAGTGCGTGCATATTTAGATGCAGTTTTTCCAAATCACTGGATTGGTCATGTAATCATTTTTGTTTGGCTATCCAGAAGTTCGGACTTCAATTCTCTTGATTTTTCTATTTGGTCTCGAATGAAAGATATAGTTTACAAATAATCTATTGGCTCGCGTGAAGAGTACAAAGGGCAAAGAATACAAATCGCTGCCAACGAAGTCAGACGCAATGCCAATATGTTGTTACAAACTCGAAAATCTCTCAGAAAACGTGTAAAGTGTATCAGTGCCAACGATGGATTCTTCGAACAACTACTTTAAATCATAATTACGTATTTTATTTGTTTTACTGTTAATTGTTGTAATAACACGAAGAAATACTTGGTTTGTTTCGCTTTTAATTTCTCATATTACCAAAACATAGTGTTCGTTAAATCGATTTTTCTCAAAAATGGATCGATATACCGAAATGAATCGAGTACATAATTAATGAAAAAATAATAGCTCTTTCAGGTTTTAAATCAAGGTTCATGTTAAATATACAAGGTAAAAAGTTATTAACTAAATTTTCGGTAGAATTGGTCGTAAGTGGCACCCTCTATGAACAATGCTGAAATTACAACACGCATCTTATTCGTCGCTTAAAAAAATATAGTTTCACAAATTTTCAAGTTCTAACCTACATATTTTCAGAATAATCGCAAAAAAAACGATTTAAAATTGTAACTTTCATTACCCTGTATTTCCGAAACTATTAGCTTTTAGATAAGGCATGTTTGCGCCAATGGTCACAATTTCACGTGTAGTATCTTCAGCTTTCGACTTTCCCATTGTTAATGAATCACCCTGTATACGTGTACATATGTATATGTATTATTAAATTACATGTGTCCCATGTTTGTAATAAATTGAATTGAATTGAATTGAATTGAAAATTATTTAACAGAATTTTTTAAAAATTTGAAAAATTATCTTTAATAAATAAATAATATTCTTTGTTCACATGTTGCCGAGAGTAAGATTTACTTTTTCTCTCCCAAGTTTTGGTTAACCCCATTCAAATAATGTGCAATGTGCCATAATCGGCAAAAATATATGTTTCTGCTATTAAAAAAGATTGAAGGTACATCCGATGCCTTGATCCCTTCATTATGCTAAAAATGACTTAGTCCGAAGGTATTTTTTCTTAATTTTCACATTACTTACTTGAATATTTGCATGTAGGTTCGTCCTTTAAAAAAACCTTTATCGAGTTATCTACAAAAATATCTTCATATTCAGGCGTCAAATCCTGAACCCAATATTTTCGGGTAATTCCAGCAGAGTCCTTTCTTTCAAAAGTTCTCCAAATAGATGGAAATAGAACATTTTCTGGCCGTTTCCAGTTACTCATCTTCTTCAGAATATAATTACTTGTTTTTGCAACTAACTGGTCTATTTATATTTAATACTTCTATTTATTTGCGCTATACCGGTTAATATTGACAAGATATTATAAATATTTATAATATTTAGAGATGCTAAAAAATCAAAGAAATGTGTTTTTATGTTTATGAAAATATTTGACTATTGAGTGTGGACCATATATAACCTACAAAGTGGTGTTATATATTAAATGTCATTGCTATTCAATGTCTACTTGCACATAGTGTTACTTTGTACCTACTGGCAAGGAATGCTATGAATTGTTTTGCGCTAGTCGCACTTGTGAGATACTGATGATATTATAAACCCTTCGAAATTAAAATCAAGGTTACTTAAAAAATTAAAATCCATTTTAAATTACATATATTTTTTTTTGCGATATATATAATATATATTTAATGCGTTATATTCATTATTAGGACAACCACCCGTGTAAGTGTATACCTCCACATTTTTAGTCAATGGAAATCAATGTATTAAAAAGTCGAAGCTTACCTGAAAAATTAAAATGCTTTCCCGTTTTTTTCCGCTGTAAATAATATTTTCATTATTAGGATAACTACCCATGTCAGGTTCAAGGTAACATTATCTTATTACTATTATACTATTATCACTTATTTTTTTAATCAAGTGTTTTCACATCAGATATAATCCTACAGATATAAAATAGATATCTACATAAATCAAAATATAAATCACAATATTAAACTAAAAATAAATAAGTAGGTATGTTATTGTTTTTATTTAGCTAATGCTCTGTATTCAATTCAAATTAACTTAAAATAATTTTTGGTCAATATTTCAACACAATAAGCGGTTATGACAGAAGAATAGTGCTTGGATAATAGTATAACAATTGACTTTGTTAAACTTCTTTGATACTAACATATATTTCAATTAGGCAAAAATTGGTGCAAATTCTTCTTCCTTTTGATACAATGTAGTTATTTATATACTGTGTATGCCCATTGACTGCATTAATAGCACATTCTATATTAAAAATTAATTAAAAAAATAAGAATAATATGACGGTTCCAGAAACGCTTGGTGCTCGAGTTTCAAGATATTAAAAATTAATGAAGTGTTATAGATTCAGTCAAGTGTGTCGCCAAGGGGGGTGGGGTATGGGAAGTATCTGCCTTGTATTTAGCTCTGGAATTTTAAATTAAAAAAATTAAATTTTTATCAATTGGAATCAGAATAAAATATAAAGTAACAAAACGGTTTTATTAAAAATATTTCTGAAATAAATTAATTCATTGCACCTATTTCTACCTGTAATTTATATTTCTCCCATCCTCTCTCTTATTGTAAATTGCAGCAAAACTGTTATAGGAATTGTAATTTGTAATTATATTATTTGAACTATCTAACAATTACTTTAAGAATATATGTATTACGTAATTGCGTAATAGCGTATGTGGTTTAAAGGGCGTCATACACGGACGTCCATGATTTAATGTTTCAACGCGCATTCATGTACGTAGCGCATGAATGTTAGCGTAATTTTGACCACAGACGATGAGAGATGTTCTAAATCTTAATTGCAGTTTTGTATTAACAACGGATACACACGGTCGTGCAAATTTTAGAAAATAATGTCTGAAGAAATGTGTTTAGTGGCAGTGGCGTGCGCTATTATTGTTAAAAAGGAGGAAAGAAAAATTAAAAAGAAGAAGTACCGCTCTAAATGGTGCAAGGAATGGTTTTTAAAAAGGGAAAATTTTTCGCATGTCAAACTATTAGAAGAATTAAGACTGGAGCCAAAAACAGACTTGCAGATTTGCGTAAGTTTCCGTCTCTGGAAATTGCATCATCCTATTTGTTTCTATTTCGTTTAAAGAAAGCTTTATGCTTCGTGAACATTAAAAAATGATTTAATGAAGATTTTAGAGAAGATTTTCTCGATTTTAGTGAACAGGCAGCACCTTTTTTAGAAAATAAAAATAGGGTACATGGTACATTTGAAAGTAGGCACTACAGTATTTATATGAGTTACCACAAAGTATTTCCATGCTAGAGAGTTATCCATTGGTTAAAAAAGTATTTCTTAGATATAACACGCTACTTAGTAATTTGTAACTGTAATTATTTTTAAATTACAAGTAATTACCCAGCTCTGTACAATATAACCGATACTAGAACAATTTGCCCACTAACAAAAAAGAAGACTGAGGAAATTCTGTAATTTTACAGAAATCAGTTATGTACCGTGACAACATCCCTCAGAAGACATTGCGGTCCGAGAAGAGATCTGAACAATTGGGTAGTGTGGTAAGTGCTAGCAGGTTGCAAATGAAAAATTTCGTATCTACATACTTAATACTAGAGGGTAGCTCGCACGAAAACAACTCGTTGCAATGAATAGCCTAGGAGGCTAAGACTTCTATGGGGTTGGAGAAAACATATTATTATTATTCAGTAGGACTAAAAATGACTGATTATTTTTAAAAACAACTTGATATTATGGCACTTTTAACAATAATTACCTACTTATACAGGATGTTCAGGCCTAATTATACAAAATTAAATGGTGGAATGTACAGGTAAAAAGTGACTTTTTTGTTCTGCGTCCAAAAAAGCACAAGCAAAGAACTTTATTAATTACTCACTAACGGTAAGTTAAAATTGAACCTAATTTTGCGAGTTTATGTTTTTAAGTACGCTCTGCTTAATTCTAAACCAGAAGAAAACCTCAAAAAAAAATAGGAGGCGGTTTTACAGAAGCATTATCAGCAGTTCAATGTGAATATTGGTATTGTTGGTGGTCACATAATACGGATTATTTTTGTTCCCCAAGAAGGTTTGATTTATGCATAGAGTTATGTCCCGACACATTACAGAATTATTGTTAGGGGATATCAATAATACATAGATATGCGATATCTCGAGAGGTGGTTTAGGAGACAAGGGGACTAGAAACTTGGCTACCTCGATCTCCGGAGCGTAATCTGGTTGACTTTTATTTGTAGTGTCATTTAAAACCATTTGCTGTAAAAATCAAACTTAAGAAAGTAAATAAAATTTTAAAAAATTATCAAATCCGTGGTAGTTTTGTCGTAACACAGTTTAACACTCGAAAACGAAATAATTGTCTTATTTCTTCAAAAATGAAAATTCACAAAAAACTGGAATTTTAGGGTTTGTAATTTTTTTTGCATTTCAAAATGTCCACACCTGGAACTATGCTTCTCTATTTATATCAAATTCTTTTACGTCTTTGAATTAAATCACTTCTGTTTTAAGAAACATATATAATAATAATATCTATTTATTTATTTATCTATCTTCAAATTGTATATGTATTTGAGAACGAGTCAAAATTATTAGGTATTATATTTACACATTTATACAACATTTTTTGTTATTTTATAACCTGCCAATAATGTTCAGTTATGCATTTTAAATACATCCTGTCTAACTGCTAGATATTTTATTTTCTAATTTCTTATTACAATGGTTCTAATTTCAATTAAAATAATTAATGAAATAAATTCAGAAAACAGCACATTAATTTAATATTGACACACCTACATACATATTATAAATTTCATGCAAAATATAATACTGCTTACCTATAAATAAAAATTGTCACTACTTTTACGAATCTTCTTTTCAAAAAATCTGTTTTAAAATAGATTTATTATAATATGAGTTATGATATGCCAACGCACTAGTAGTGAAAAGTTATAATAATTGCAATTATTAAGTGTAACATTATTTATATATTAATGATTGACCTATTGCACAATAATTATTGTAACTAATTTTATTTTTAAAATAACTTTTATTTTTCAGTTACCACTAAATGAATTTACACTTTTTTATCTCCAATAAATAAATATATTAAATTGAACTCAGCACTTACAATTAGAAGAATCCAAAATAGTCATTTATCTAGTGGCAACTAAAATTTCTACATTTGAACAGAGATTTGAACTGATGTAACCATCTTATCAACGGCTTATTTTTGACCTCCCACTAGGAATTATAAAAAATAACATCTCACTGTCTCGCTCTTTCTTATATGTATTATTATTATTAATACAATTTTATACTGTCAATTGAATAATCTTATCTTAATCTTGATAAATGTAAGATTTTCGAGTTAGGCACAATTAAATACAGGGTAGCCCATCGAAAACGTACCGCAAGGCATTACAAGGTAGTAATGAACTTTTCGGCAAAATCCAAAAACAGGTAAAGTTTGCTTCTGAGGGGGACAACTTTTGGCGCAAAAAGCATAGCAAAATCTTCAACCCCCTAAGTGGGGGTGCCATCCCCCAAATTTTTTTAAATGGGAATGGGGGTCAAGTGGGGGGTCATTAGAAAGGGCTTTTAATTCTCTATACATCGATTCTTACTTTTTGAAAATCGATCCATTATTTTAGAAAATATGCAGCTTTGAAAATACGAACAATATTTTTGACGAGAAATGCGAAAATCGATTTAATTTTACTTCAAAACTTACGGTATTAGCTTGGTAAATTCCTTCAAAAGAATTCGCTGTTTTTTTTTCTGATTTGCGAATTCTTTAGCCTGATTTTGGTGAGCAAAAAATTGTCCGCTTTTTGTTTCGTATTTAGATAGGCCACAAGAAGTTGCTAGATAACTGTCTTGTGACTTGTAGTTGAAGAGTACCAATACTGCCGAGTCTTTTAAATTGATTAATTATGGTGTACTCAATTCCAGAAAGAGTAGAAATTATTGAGCTTTTTTTCAAAAACAATGAATGCGGAAATCGGGTCGCCGAACTGTTCAACCAACGGCATCCTGAGAAACATGCGTCTGGAAAAATTGTTCGCGAATTGGTGGCCAAATTTCGCGAAACTGGCTCCGTTCATAACAAAAAGAGGCAGGTTGAAAATCCGGTACTAAATGAACCTACGGAAATAGCGGTATTGGGGCAAGTGGCAATGGATAGTACGCTGAGTACAATGCAATTGGCTACTGCGACAGGAGTGAGTCGTACAAGTGTCCAACGAATATTAAAAAAATACAAATTCCATCCTTATAAGATTCGGCTAGTGCAAGAGCTAAATGAAGACGATTTTGATCGTCGTTTGCAATTTTGCGAAATAATGACTGAACGAGCGATAAACGATAATTTCCTCTTTAATGTGTGTTTTTCGGACGAGTGTACGTTCTTCTTGAATGGTTTAGTGAATCGCCATAATTGTCGTTACTGGGCTGATACCAATCCAAGGATTTTCCATGAGACACACTCCCAACACCCCCAGAAGTTGAATGTATGGGCAGGTATTTTTGGAAATTCCATTGTAGGTCCTTTTTTCCTTCCTGGAAATTTGACAGGCGATATGTACTTGGATTTACTACAAAATGTCATCGACCCAGCTCTAACAAATATCATAGAGGACGACCCTGCTTACAATGAACACGAACTGATTTTCCAGCAAGACGGAGCTCCTCCACATTACTCGCTCAATGTGCGCAATTACCTAAATGAGACGTTTCCAGGACGCTGGATAGGACGAAGAGGTGCAATTGAGTGGCCCCCTCGGTCACCCGACTTAAATCCTTTAGATTTCTTTCTCTGGGGGCACATTAAAAGCAAAGTTTACAGCACTCCACCTGATACCTTGGAAGATCTGCGAGGACGAATCATTAATGTATGTCGCGAAGTAACACCGCAAGTGCTCCAGAATGTTCGACAACGGTTTGAAGACAACCTGTATCATTGTACGCAAGTTGGCGGACAACATTTCCAGCATTTACTTGACTAATACCGTAAATTTTGAAGTAAAATTAAATCGATTTTCGCAATTCTCGTCAAAAATATTGTTCGTACTTTCAAAGCTGCATATTTTCTGAAATAATGAATCGATGTTCAAAAAGTAAGAATCGACATATAGAGAATTAAAAGCCATTTCTAATGACCCCCCACTTGACCCCCATCCCATTTGAAAAAATGTAGGGGATAGCACTTAGGGGGTTGAAGATTTTGGTATGCTTTTTGAGCCAAAAGTTGTCCCCCTCAGAAACAAATTTGACCTGTTTTTGGAATTTGCCGAAAAGTTCTTTACTACCTTGTAATGCCTTGCGGTACGTTTTCGATGGGCTACCCTGTATATTTATTTTAAAATACAGTTCAATCAATAGGTGAATGTGTGCTTAAGCCCTAGATACCTCCTATCTTTATAATAAGCATTTTTTATTACAAAAAAACTTGGTAAAAAAACAATGCTCACTGAACCAAAACGGTGTCTATATACGAGATTACTTGAAAGTAATTAACAACTATTTTTCATATATACAATGATGTTTCAAAACGGTGTTGCCAAACTTGAAAGGGTTATAGAAGACATTGCGGAAGAAAATTTCTGTATATAAACCCTTAGTCGGAAGTGAGCCGTTTTGGAAATGGAACAATTTTTGTCCAAAAACGTAATGTTTATGATGACGTTAACCCCAAAAGGCTTCGCTATTTAAGTAATTTTTATTAAGGATAACACAAAAATAATAAATTTATAATAATGGGTGGCCGAGTAAAAATGCTTACATGGCCAATCCAGCTCTTTGGAAAAACTGCATCTAAATATGCACGCACTGGCCGAGAAAAATGCGGGGGAGCTCCATCGTGCATGAACCGCATGTCTCTTCTTAAATAAAGTGGAACTTCTTCAAGCCGCGGAAGCATTTTTTCTTGGCCACCCAGAAGTCCGGACTTCCATCCTCTTGATTTTTCTATTTGGTCCCGAATAAAAGATATAGTTCACAAAGAATCTATTGGTTCGCGTGAAAAGTTGTCTCGGTAAATGTTGTGTAAAGGTGGATTCTTCGAACAATTATTTTAAATCATTATTGCGTATTTCATTTGTTTTATTGTTAATTGTTGTAATAACATGAAGAAACACTTAGTTTATTTCACTTTATTTTCTCGTATTATCAAAACATGGTGTTCGTTAAATCGATCGATAAAACAAGAGAAGATACATAATTAATGGAAAAATGATAGCTCTTTTAGGTTTTGAATCAAGTTTCATGTTAAATATACAGGGTAAAACGTTATTAACTAAATTTTCGCTAAAATTGGTCGTAAGTAGCGCCCTCTATGAGCAACGCTGAAATTGCAACACGCATTTTATTCGTCGCTTAAAAAAATATAGTTTCGCAAATTTTCAAGTTCCTAACCAACATATTTTCAGAATAATCGCAAAAAAAACGATTTAAAATTTTAACTTTCAACACCCTGTATTTCCGAAACTATCAACTTTTGGATAAGGCATGTTTGCGCCAATTGTCACCATTTCACGTGTAGTATCTTCAGCTTTCGATTTTCCCATTGTTAATGAATCACCCTGTGTATTGTCCAAACGATATGTACCTGGGACATATGGTAAGACATCTGGAGAATATTATTAACATAAGATCCCTTGAAAATTCTATGCCATAGCCAAAATCGTACACCTATAGGACATGGGGGTATATCCTATATCTTAAGAATATCTTTAGAACATTATATATATGCATATGCTATTGAACATTCAAGTTTCAATTCAACTAGAGAAAAATAGACATTTTAGGGCAACAACATCGTTGAAAGATGAAGAAAGAGAAAAATTTTCATCCATATTTTCATTAATTCATCGTTTGAGAGCTGTAGCGTTATTAAATAAAAGAGGTTGAATGTAAATGAACAAATTTTACATTGATCAAATCATCGGCAAAAAAAACAGATCTTAGATGATTTTAGGGGCAAATCGTTAATAAATAAAAAGAAGTAGTCTATTTTCGAATTCTTGAGGCACACCAGAAGTATCTACATAAGTGATAAATGTAAAATCAAACTTACAAAATATCTACATATTTAATATATTGATACACTAAAACTGGGACACTCTGGATAGTAGTAATTTGTGCTGAATCCTATTACTTGAAACAAATTTGATGTGTTTGTAAAATCATCAAAATGATGCACGACTGTCGATTGGTGATATAAACATGTGTGAAAATCAACCAAAAATATCCCCGATGACCAATCCATCATAGGTTAGACGTATTGGTTTTAGTAGACGGTTGGTGGACGAGTTGTAAAGACATCGAAATAAAAATGAATAAAATATTTATAATAGAGAATAGTAATTTTTGATGTGTGTCGTATTAGACTAGGCGGTATCTGTTTTGGTTTGGGTGAATCGTATATCCACGGAGATTTTTGGCTTTTTGGATTTCAAATATCACTAGAAATGAACATTTTTCTATGCGCATAAAAAAAACGTGAGCTTAACTAGCGGCACAATATGTTAAAAAAATTCGAAAAATGTCATATTTTTTTCCTATTTAATTATGTATCTTCTCAGGAGTTGATTTTAGGCGAAAATGGAAGAGGAAAAAATGTTTGTAATTAAATTTTTTACAAAACATGACTAGTTACAAATCGAATGAATCATAATTATTATGGAAAAAACCGCAAAAATGGGGTTAAAAAACAATACCTTTTAGGGAATTTTTTTAGGGTTTTAAATTGGGTATAGGACCTTTATAGGACCTTGGCTCAAGAAAACTTCATGATATATAGAATCATCACACCAAATTTCATCAAAATCGGTTCGATAGATTTTGCATAATAATTTTGCAATCCAGATTTTGAAAAAAAAATTGCAAATTTTCAAAATTTTGCACAGCAAAATCCAAGGCCCTTAGATACTTGAAAATTTAATCACATATAGAAGGGCTCTCAAGCTTTCAAACGCTTTTTGGAAAATTCGAATCCGTCAATTAGGAGAGCTCTGGCGCTTGTTTAAACATTGGTCGAATTTTTATACTATAAACAATTAGAATAACTTTGTTAATATTCAATCAAATCAAATTTTTTAAAGCAGGTTTTAAAAGTTCTAGGAAAGACGCTTCTTTAAAAAAAAACAAATCGATTGGTCAATTAGTTACGTGCCAGATTTCTGCAGTAGCTACTAAAACTATATTTTTCTAATTGGCAATAACGGAAAAAATTATTTGTA